GTCAATGAAGTTGATGTAGAGTGATGAATTCCATTCAATTGATTGTTCCACAATGATCCGTAGAGTTGCGATTTGGTCTGTACACGATCTATCCTTACGGAATCCTGCCTGTTGGTCTCGAAGTTGGGCGTCTACGCAGTCCTTCATCCTGTTTAACAATACCCTGTTGAAGACTTTTCCCGGTATTGAGAGAAGAGTGATGCCTCTGTAGTTATCACACTTGCTGAGATCGCCTTTCTTCGGTATTTTGATCAGAAGTCCTTCTTTCCAGTCTGTTGGTACTTGTTCCTCATCCCAAATCTTATTGAAGAGAATGTGGAGTATCCTTGCAGTTGCCGCTACGTCTGCTTTTAGTGCCTCTGCCGGGATGTTGTCCGGTCCTGCTGCTTTGCCACTCTTGATTTGCCTGATGGCCATGCTGATTTCTTCAATTGTTGGTGAGCCAACATTGATTGGGAGGTCCGTGGGTGCTGCTTCGATGTTGGGTGGGTTCAGTGGCGCTGGTCGATTCAAGAGTTCTTTGAAGTGTTCTATCCACCTGTTTTGTTGCTCTTCAATGTGGGTGATTACCTTGCCTTCCTTGCTTTTCACTGGTCGTTCTGGTTTGCGGCGATTTCCAGAGAGCTTCTTTGTCGTGTCATACAATTGTCTCATGTTTCCTTCTCTTGAAGCCTTTTCCGCCGTCGTTGTTAAATCTTCCACATATTTACGTTTGTCGGTTCTGATGCTCCTTTTCACTTGTTTGTTTATTTCCGTGTATTCAGCTTGTGCCTTAGCTTTTTCTGCTCTTGTTCGGCTGGTATTGATCGCTGCCTTCTTGTTTCTTCTTTCTTGAATCTTATCCAGTGTATCAACAGTGATCCATTCCTTGTGGTGGTGCTTCTTGTGACCCAGGACCTCATGACATGTTGAAGTGATTGCCTCTTTGATCCCCTTCCAGTTGCTCTCCACAGTAGTTCCTTCTCCATTGAGTAGATCATGAAAGGCCTGGAACTTGTTGCTGAGGACTATCTTGAATTTGTTGAGTTTGTTAGTATCCTGAAGAAAGGCCGTATTGAACTTTTGTGATACTGTCTGCGCCGTTGTCCAGTGCTTCTTGAGTTTCAATTTCATCTTGGCGACCAGTAAGTGATGATCTGATGCTATATCAGCTCCTCTCTTGGTTCTCACGTCCTCTATAGTCCTCCTGAACGTTTTGTTGATGCAAATATGGTCGATTTGGTTTTGTGTAGAGTGATCCGGTGAAGTCCATGTGGTTTTGTGTATGCGTTTATGTGGGAATACGGTGCCGCCTATGACCAGCTTATTGAAGGCACATAGATTTGCAAATCTCTCACCATTTTCGTTTCTTTCTCCCAGTCCGTGTCGTCCCATGATGTCTTCATATCCAGTGTTGTCCGTTCCAACCTTGGCGTTGAAATCTCCCATCAGAATGGTCAGGTCCTTTGTTGGGCACTTCTCGACGATTGACTGCAGCCTATTGTAGAATTGATCTTTAGCGTCTTCATTGTAGTCGTTGGTAGGCGCATAGCATTGGATGATGTTCATTGAAATGCCCTCTTTCTTTGTTTTGAAGGAGGCTTTGATGATCCTTGGTCCATGAGATTCCCATCCTATAAGTGCATTTTGCGCTTGTTTGGACAGCATCAATGCAACTCCTTGTGTATGTGGTGCATTTTCTTCTTCATGGCCGGAGTATAACAGGAGCTCTCCTGTAGTTAGTCGTTGTTGTCCAACTTGTGTCCAATGTGTTTCACTGATCCCAAGTACCTCTAGGTTGTATCTTCTCATTTCTGCAGCAATTTGGAAGGCTCTTCCGGTGTCCCACATTGTACGAACATTCCATGTACCTAAATAAATGGTTGCTCTGGTTGTCAGAAGGGGCATCGGCCTCGTAACTTCCGAAGGAATTCGGCTTTCATCATGAGGCGTCATAATTCTTCTAAATGAAGACCTTCTGACTCCCAGGGCAGAGTTTAAAAGGTTTGAATAATTTTTTCTGGTTAGCGTTTTTTTAGCGAGTTAGTTTTCTACGGGATGGGGACGCTAACCCCATGCCCAACCCTCCTCCTTTATCCGGGCTTGGGACCGGCAGTAGCCCCCGGAGGGACTCCAGGCTAAAGCAGCCGAAATCCTCAGTCCTATAATGACTTCCATAACTGACTACTTTAGCAGACGACATTTAAACTATGATCTTTTTCAAAGTTATATCAAATACATTATTGAAACGAGATCTTAATATCGCCTACTTAAATATCTAAACAGAGTTTGCGTCATGAATAAAAATCTAGTACTATTCGTTTCAATAAAAAATTTCTCGTTAAGAATACACTCAGTGGTTTACACTTTGACGGCAGAAAAGTGACTTAGTTGTTTAAGTATACTACATTTTGCCGCTTCATCGTGGATTCAAATTCTATTTCAGCACCGGTTAGCCAGAAGTGTAATATTTATGCCCAACACAATCAATTGAGTGGAATTCATCACTTTACATCAACCTCATCGACTACGAAAAAGCGTGGACAGAACAACACTATGGAAGCTTCTTCGACACTACGGCATACCGGAGAAGATAGTCGATATCATACGGAATTCCTATGATGGATCAAACTGCAAAATCGTGCATGCATGACAATTGACAGATTCGTTCAAGGTAAAAACCGGTGTCAGGCAAGGTTGGGCAGCATCACTGATGAACACGGTGGATCTGATGCAGATGTAAAGGCACGGATTGGCAAAGCAAGAGCAGCATATTTACAATTTAGGAACATCTGGAACTCAAAGCAACTCTCAACCAACACCAAGGTCAGGATTTTCAATACAAATGTCAAGACAGTTCTACTGTATGGGGCGGGAACTTGGAGAACTACGAAAGCCATCATCCACAAGATATAAATATTTATTAACAGCTGTCTACGCAAAATACTTCGGGTCTGTTGGCCAGACACTATCAGCAACAACCTACTATGGGAGAGAACAAACCAGATCCCAGCGGGGGAAGTGGATGGAAACACATTAAGGAAAGCACCCAACTGCGTCACAAGACAAGCCATCACATGGAATCTTCAAGGCTAAAGGAAAAGAGGAAAATGAGAGAACACACTACGTCGAGAAATGTAGACAGATATGAGGAAAATGAACAAAAATTTGATAGAACTGGAAAGGAAGACCAGGACAGAGTGGGTTGGAGAATGCTGGTCAGCGGCCTATGCTCCATTGGGAGTAACAGGCGTGAGTAAGTAAGCCTTATCCCACGGGTATCCGTCTCCCGTGTTAGTCCTAACAAGTACGTAGCTATGACAATAGTTACAAAGAGGTCGTGTTTGACTGACACCAAGAAGTTTCCCCTTGGTCACTGCGGTCACGCACTCAGGTCACTAAGGCCACCTTTAATCCAATTCCCTTTACAGGTGCCTCTAGAAGAACCCTTCCGCGGTGTGGGCAACCGGGAAGTGGTAACTACTCTCATACCTCTAACAGCACTCAAGATCACTGCATTCATAATCAATTTCCCTCTTTGATTCCTATTACCCCTCGTACCTCGACTATCAACTCTAAACGTTTTCCTCTTTCTCCTCAAGTGTCGCCATAGCCAGAATTCTAATGCGCAAAACTGTCCGTCAGTCAGTAAAAACGTAGAACTTCGTACGTACGTACACCAGTTCAGGTTGCCATACCACATTAGCACAGAGATGCAGTTGTTGATTTAAATCCTGTAGTGGTAGAAGTAGTAAAAGTATAAGCAGCAGTCATAAACATTAAGATTTGAAGATGATATTCAATGAGTATAATCCAGTGAAATAAATTTGGAGAGAAAAAAAGGGACATGAAGAATTCAGATTAGAATTTGGAAGAACACAAAGGGTGGATGCACCTACATTATTGCAAACGATTTGGAGTCATGTCCTCCAAGGTCTCTAACCATCGGTTCCTATCATCTCGAGGATCCCAACCAGGTAGTCTACACCTACCAACATGGCTCAGTCCACTTGTCAGTGACCTCATGCATTTGTGCCATCTTTTGGTCTGGCCGCCCCTAGCTTTCTTTCATCATACTCCTACACCATGAAACATCGCACATCGGGGTAGTCGGTGGTTGGGCATACGTAACTTATGTTCCAGCTACCTCAACTGATGAAGTTCCACTACTTTATCAATTGACTTGCCATCCTCACCTAGTACCCGTTTCCTAACAACTGCATTACTTACTCGGTGGTCCCAGGATACACGAGCAATGCTACGAAGACACCTATGATCGGATATTGGTAACCTGCGGACATCCTCTGCTCTTACCGGCCGTATTTCACAGCCATGAAGTAGGACGGAACAAACTGATGCACAGTAAACTCGTCCTTCGGTTGGTAGACCAGTCAGATGAGATTACGTTCAGTCCCCAGATTCTACCTAAGACCTCAGTCAATCTCACTGCTAATACTGGACCGCGATCCTTAAAAATCTCAGGGGTAAACCTGTCAGGGCCTACTGCTCTCCCTCGCTTCAGATTTCCTATAGCTTTCTCAACTTCGTAAAGAGTTGGAGGACTTACATTAACTTGCCATTCAGGTCGACTGGAGATCGTGGGAAACCGAAGTGTGGCTGAACACCAGTTGAACTGTCCCAGGTCTACTGAAACCTCGCTACAAACTACACATTAGAGCCTTCAACATACGTAACCTATGTCAAATCGGTCAGTGAATATGTGACTGGGAATACGCTGAGTAGTGAAAAAGCACCAGCTTAGACTTAATATTTCTGCAAAATATTGTGATGAAATACGGATTCCCTGACTAAGAGTAATGGACACACATTAGTCTTACTAAACAAGTGGCGGCTTTTATGAATCAGAAACCCGACGTTTAAAGTAATGGATCATTATCTCATTAAGAACTTAAATGTAAAATCACAGGTGCACACATCTGACGAGTTTCAAATAAGGGGCAATCGGCATCTTGTGTCTCACTACCAAGAACCGTCCAAAAATTAGAAAACAGTTTGTTCAATTCACCCCTGTAAACTTTTTAGACGTGATAATAATTATGGAAAATACAAGTAAACACGGTTTATCAAACAAATACGCATGCAAATGATTGATCATATAACTGTTTTACTCAATGTTTATAACGTTTGATCTAAGTAATTAGGTGGCGATCTTGCGATTAATTACATCTCAACAATTATAACAACAAAAGTCAAGGTTTACAAAAAATGATGAGTTCGTAGTTTACAAAATATGGGCATCACGAAGTATAATATACAATAACAAATACCAAAATTTGTTGCAATGGTTAGTATCGTGAATGGTGTTTCTTATGTTTGCTTTTTCTCTCTTTGTGTTTTTTGTGGTGCTTTCTGGATGACTTGCTTGGCCCTAAATGATCTTTCCATTTGGATTTCCCCCGGGGATTAACCGATAATGATGAGGAATCAGACTCATCTGAAATTACCAAATCATATTCCTCACCTAATACAGATGGAGATTCGCATCTTATAGGACTATATTTCTTTTTCTTATTTTCATGGCTATGAGAATGCTGGGGGTAATTTCTTCTACTATTTCGTTCTGGTGATCTAGGTAAACAAGCTTGTTTTATGTCTCGTGATTTTTTTGACTCAGAAGAAGGTTGGACACGTGCAAGCTTATCTTTTCCGTAAGACTGCCATTCACGAGCAACCGACTGACTGAAATCCACATGGATACGTCTATCATCAATAACGACTTTGTCCATTTTGAAATAGGCATCTTCACAATCAGCTTCTTTCTCATATTCTATGAAAGCATACTGAAGAGAAGCACCAGTACGTTTATCTCTAATTACTTCACATGATTTGATTTCACCAAACCGACTGAAGATAATCTCCAAATCCTCGCTTGTGGTTACGGGATTAAGTTTACACACAAAAAGTACATTATTTGGAGGTTTAACATTAGCATCCGGTAAATCCCCTATCAATGTAAGAAGCTGAGTATGAGTTCTAACTTCTTGCTCTATCTTCAGTTCCTCCACTTGTGTAGGTGAAAGTCCTTCCGTATCATCTAGTTCTTCATCCTCTTCTAATCTAGTGTCAAACTATTAATGAGAAGATACAGAACTAAATACCATAAGCAAACTGAAAGAATCAAGATCAATAAACGGAATTATTCATGAAACAGCTTATATATATATATATATATATATATATATATATATATATATATATATATATATATATAATCCTAAGAAAGCCGAGTATCAGCAAAGCGCTGAAAGATATAGTGACACTAAATAACAAGCTATATGACAAATTACATGGTCTTGCACGCACTTTTGAATGTCAGTTGTAAAACAGTAAATGAGTATGCAGTTCTTAAGCTAAAAATGGTTTATTTAGTACGGAAAACAGGATTTAATAGGTGATCACGCTACCGGTTGACGAATAAAACTTATCGGATTGGTGTGAATTGAAATGACATGTGGTACATGCAAAATCCTAACATTAGGTTTTTAATGATGCACAAATCCAAATGCAGATGGTTACTCATTTATTCAACCCAACATTATGTTAAGTTGTAGAAACCACAAATAAAACTAGTCGACACTTGAGTGGTAATTGCGATATATTAAAATCGTATGTACATGAAAATAACTGGTGTTTACTAAATAGAACGTTCCTATTAAAATCTGTTCTTTATAGAGTACATTATTAACTTCAATCAATTTTCATGATACTATTGAAAGTTATGAACAATCACCAAAAAAGCACACAACCCTACCAGTTTGAAACCACGTCATCGATAGAAACTAATTGGTGACAAGACACGAAATGCACACTACAAAGGTGTCAAATCGTCATTTGAATGAGCATACTCAATTTGAACACCAGAATCAGCCTATAAACAGAGAAACACTCAGAGAACATGAACATATCAACGAGCTGGATTGTGTATTACACCTATTACTAATATTCTATTTGAATTGAAATAGTTGTACGGGGATCCATGTACCTGTTACTTTTCGTCGAAAAAATGAAATATTAATAACTATAAGTGACCGATAAACAACCCGCATAATTTTGCTTACTGTAGAGACGTTTATTGAGGGTGGAGAGTCAGGATAACGAATCATTTTCGGTGAATCAAATGGGTCATCAAGAACAATTGTATGATGTATCCTGACATTGCGGAACGGCCGACCATTTTTATCACAGTACACCTCATTTATTCTTTCAACGAAGTCCATTCCCTCAGCAATCTGCAGATTAAAGTTTTGACAGTTTCATCGCAAACGTACATAGCCGAAAACTGTATGCTTGTCATCCAGGTAACTAAGATCATCTCCCAAAGTTATGAAGAATTGAGAACCATGCTGTCCAGATCCATTGTCCACCATGGAAACCAGCCCTTTTCGTGTATGCGATATTTTTGGTTTTTTCTCAGCATCAAAATAACTTGCCTGGTCACCATACAAGTACTTGAAAAAAGACCAACCACCATGACCTGTTCCGCTAGGATCCCCAGACTGGGCAACCAAATTTTTCTGTACACAGTGAAAGAGACAAAAGTTGAAGTGCTTCAGTTTGCAGAGTTTGATAAAGTTTGTACATGTTCGCGGCTTTTCATCACAATACAGATCAATTACAAGTTGGCCAAGAGAAGTCTCTAATAGAACCGCCATCTCCAAAGTCCCGCCAAGGTTAGTCGTCAATTATAAGGTCAGAAAGTTGATAGAACTGTGTTAGTCCTTTCAGTTTGTTTTTCAATGAAGGTCGAGATTCACCTTAAAGATTTTCACTGGTGATGCTAATACCACTTGATTGAGTTAAGTCATTGGATGCTAAACGAGAAAAACGGAACCCCACTCTGAGTTTACTAGATCGCAGTTTCGAACCCTCGTGCTATGGCTCTTGAGATTATTAGTTCTTGAGGGAGAAAAATACAGGACATAATAACACCCGATCCATTATTAAAGATTTGAGATGTTGATATATAGTCACATAGCACTCCAAAATACGACTATGGAAAATTTTTCAGACGATTTTATCGCTCATCGTACGAAAATTTGGAAAGACCCTTCATTAGGTATGTTCCAACCTTTTCAACACGCTCAAATGGCTTGGTATTCTTGACAAGACATAGACTGACTGCTTAGACACAGTACCCTAGTTGTGTTCCTACATAAATGGGATATAAAATTCGAAACATCTCGTCAATGCATTGAATTCCTGGCAGAGTGATCATAACGCTTTGGCAACTGCTGCATTGCAATGCGTAATTCTCTTCAAGTGGGCATTTTTTATTCTCTCTAAGTCTTTGTCTCTGCACGCATGGAAATGATTCACCGTCAATAGTATGTTGGTAAATGTTACCGCACCCAATGTGCATGAGCATACTCTATCTAGAACTGATTTCTAAGCCCCCAAATCGAGCTTGTCTAACTGACTTGTCTAGGTCAGCTAAAGAATCAAAACGTCAGCCTCACTTCATATTGATCTCCAGATTTTGACATCATCCTCAAACAATAATGTCGATGTCTTTAACGATAGCGGCAATACATTTACGTAGAGAAGGAAAAGTAGGGGAATTAAAATGGTGTCTTGAGGCACATTACTTTTGATGGGCTTCCTTTCTGACGGCATCCCATTAACCGTCGCTCTCTGTTTGCGGCCACAGAAGAAGTTTCTTATCCATTCCTGTACAGCACCTGTTACTCCGATGTTCGAGAGCTCCTGCATAATATCAACGTGAGAAAGCTTACTAAATGATTTGCTAGACTCTGTGAATATCACATTGACAGACAAACCTTTAACTAGGGCTGCTGCTCAGTCCCTTCTCAAAATAATTAGGTTCGTTAAGCATGGATGTTGCTCAGGAGTTAACAGGCTGTATGATTCTACATGGCTTGGTAACTTAACCCGGATTATCTTTTGAAGAAACTTAACTACTATGCTGATTAAACTGACAAGTCAGTAGTCGGACACGATCTGTCTCTATTCACGTTTAAATATATATGACCAACTATGACGGCTTTCCGATCCCTAGGGTGTCGAGTGCGGGAAAGGGATATTTTGAGCAGCATCGTAAGTGGCCGTGAAATACTCTTCGCGACAGATAAATGAAGTCATGCATGTAATGCATCAGGGTCAGATATCATACAACATCTGAGGTTAACAGCTTCCTCAGCTATATGTACAGGTCCCGTAGTCGAGATCTCAATGGTGTGATTATGACATGTATCGTTAGCAATATTCACTGAGCATACTTCGATGAAACGGCTTGATAAAATCGTAGCTTTGGTCAGGTCCAATTCAGCTAGTAAATCTGAATTTCGCGCAACAGTAATGTAGGTATGCCATCACTACGTTTTGTTCTTCGTTCACTGTACGAAAACAATCGTTTTGGGGATCTACGGCTATCATATACCAATCGTCTTCCGTAAGCGGTGCTGCATCCAGCTACAGACTTTTCACAAATACTCCAGATATTTCAATATTCAAAATTAAATGATTCGTGACTTCTTGACAAGAATAAGTCCCAGAAGTGTTTCCTACTCCTCAGTGGCATTGGGCCTTTTTATCAATCCATGGATGGCAATGTGATAGCCTGCGTGTTGACCATGGGATGAACGGTGGTGTGGGTTTCAAATCATCACATCTTGGATTGAACCAGAACAGTCTCTGCTTGCAGAAATGTTAGCTCGCCGGACATTGGAATGGGGTGGAGCAAATACACACTGTATATTATGTATCCAAAGCCTAAAGTGCAGTACAACGTGATCACTGTTGGATGTTGGGGGAGGTACTGGATGTCGGTGGCATCATTAGAGTGGTGTGTAAAGACGAGGCTCAGCAATGACGGATCATGTTCCAAGTATATATGTGCTGGTTCCGCGACACATTATATATGTGCACACTGAATAAGGGTTGACAGTATATTGCTATCAAAATATCCATCTGAAGTTCAATGCTCTATCCAGTTAATATGTGGCACGTTAAAATACCGAATGACGAGACAACAACCAGTCTTACTTCAAGAATAGATATGACTTATGGCAAAGTTGTCAGCAAGACAATTGGGACTAAGGAATATTATTTATATAGTCACTAACCCGTGTCTAGGTAGACTTGTACAACAATCTACCTTGCACGTACCACTGTCTTGTCCCTGTTATGTAATCGATTGTACAGAAAGTGATCTCAACCATATAATATTATTCCTTCTCCCTTGCGATCCATGAGATTATCACGTTTAAGATTGGTGTATCCTGAAATTATTGGAGAGCAGTCTTTATCTACGATGAACCATGTCTTCGTGACATTAATTATATCGTGACATAATTCACTAAAATACGAAGCCTACTCAAGACCCTATAAAATATATACAAATAAATAAATGAATAAAAAGGCTCCAATAGCTTCGACGAAAAAAGGAGATGGTCGATTGTGCATCATAATACGGTTTTCAGCACTACATTTTATAACTACACATAATGCCAAACTCTCAGCAGTTTTCTGGACCACCTCCGTTTATCAGCAGTTTATCCACTCATACATTGTTCACACATATTTTGATTAACATATTAGGATGCCCTTTCTTAGTAAATACTCGAATAAAAGAAAATAAGACTGAGCAGCCATATCTTAAATCATTCTTCAATCAAAACCTAGTACCGATTAACTGTGTACCCAGTATTCCCTTTCCCCATCATTAATGTTGTTTCGTGATAACACTGTTAACTAATTGGTCTGCTGCGTGGTCTGGTTTTGTATGTATATAAACGAATGTCTGAAATATAATGACGAACGTAAACAGGTGAACATTGGACTTAAGTTCTTCCCCTCCGTTCGTGGGTAATTAGTATTGGGTTAACTTCTAGGCATATAGTGTCAGTCTTCCTCGTCCTTAGTGTGTATTGGCTGCTCAGAGTCATCTGAGAGTATGAAGTGATTTTAGGGTATAACAAGTACATTACGGAAAAACGATGTCTAATAATTTTCAGCACTGAGTGACAAGATATTTTAAATTCTCAGGTAGCGTGTACTAGAATGGTTGGGAATAGGTATTGCCAAATCTTAAATTTGTCTCATCGTTTCTGACCTAATAACGGAGAACATTAAGTCAAGATAAGGTTTTTTCGATTTACCACATTACAAATAAATTGTCAGAAACTGTAAGGTTACCCGGGTCTGACATAGATTAGCTCAAACAAATAAATAAATTCTGCTTCTTTGTTTGTCTAGAATTGGGTCATCCAGAATCTCACTAGAATGGCCTAATCAACTAAAAGATATTTTCAGAACTTAGTGGAATCTAAGTGTGAACTTAGTGAGTTAATTGAGCAATATGTATCACTTGAAGGTTTATTAGAAATCAAACAGCTGGGGCATAAAACCACAAAGTGACAACATTTGGTTTATTTATAACACATATAAATCCTAGTTTCACAGAGCACCAGAAGCACATCACATAAATGAAATGATAATATTGTTTGAAAAAGGGTCGAATAATTAATAAATAAATGGGAGAAGATAGTAATTAATAAAAAAAATGGTCCAATTACAAACACAAACATAAAGAGAAGGTTTATTTTGTTCTTATGGAGAATGTAAAAGAAAACTACAGCAGAATTGATATTGGCTTCTGATAATATCTCAAGCTACTGAACTTTACGGTCTACGAGACCGAGTAGTTATGATGGATCACTAGCTGCTGATCCTATACGGCTATTTTTCATACTACGTCCCCACGTCGTTAATTAACTTCCCTTTTTTGCATCTAGTCTGAGTGTCGGTAGATAAGACGAGGTGTGTAAGCTTCTAAAATGACATTAGGAAACCACATCCAATTAATCGAACTTGGTGTTTCAGGATGGTGATACGAAATAATAATAATAGTTTATTCTTAAATAACAGTTTGTTACATGAGGCATGCCAGTTTACAGGCAAGGCACGAAGTGAATCATCATCACTGATCTCGGATACATGATACCTCACCTTACTAATACTAATCTAATGCACCAGTTGCACTTCTTCGAAGCACTGATAACCGAACACCTTCAGTTCAGAGGGACCAAGTTTTACGAGCACAAAGCAAAACTTCTTACTGATGTTGTAAAGCCGATTTTCACAGACAGAATAACATAATGACGGCGCCAAAGATGTCCGGAATTGTGATAGAGAGCTCTGGCTTTTACTAAGTATAGACTGATCTCATCTGTCACGTCACCAACAGGATACACAAGGCCCAAACACACTGACATTTCAACTATTTCCATAGGCTCACTTCAAAAGGTAAGTCCATAACATGGTTCTGTGGCCTTTGGAGTACGTTGCATTTCAAAGTTAGAAAAGTACATGCCATACATACAAACTAACTGGAACTGATTAAAAGTAGTATGAGTGGGTTGTACATCATCACACAGTAAAACAATGTTGTGTGAGCACTTGAAGTTGAAAAGTCTTTTTCCAGGGATAAGATATCCATCAACACCAAGTATTTACTTCAGAGCTGTTTTGCAAAATGCTATCGGTGACAAAATGTTGTGACATACACTGCGGAAATCACCAAACTTCATCACGAGGCAAGCGATAACTTGAAATCCTGAAGGGAAACGGAAAAGAAGGCCGAAGAAGACACTGCGTCGGAATTGTAAGCAGACATGGAAAGGATGAATAGTAAGTGGAAACAACTGGAAAGTATTACCTAGGACGAAGTTGGATGGAGAATGCTGGTGAACTTTCTACGCTCCCCCATGAGGGTTAACGGGTGTATATAAGTGAGATAAGCCATATAAAGTTGCTCCAGAATGTTTTCGGCACTAGAAATTTAGCTATGTGGAGCAGAATCCCACTAAGCATCCGATAGAGTAGAACATTTAGGCTTATGTAGCGAACACTCTACATCCTGAGTCTTACTACACGATTTGCGGACCTTTGATGCAATCGAATATTTCTCTCACTAAATTATGTACTTGGTCTTGCTCAGACCACGAATCATTCATTCACATCAGGTACTTTCATCTTACCACAGTTGCCAGTTTCCGTTGTTTCTGAGAAAAAAATGGTGGTAGAATAAAGAAACTGAAGTCTATATGCAAAACCTAGCGGCTGTTGAAATGGAATACAATTCAATGATAGGAAACATGCTTTTTAAATACTGTTGGCATTATCTACATTACGAAAACGAATTATTTTAGGGGTTTGAAACAACCCCGTGCTTGACCAGATTACCAATAAGAGGCTTATTCAGTCTCCCTGTGAATAATTCCTAAAACCAGAAGATCTAAGAGCTATGAATCTATTGAGTTGAATTCATTATGAGACTTGCAAATGAAATCTATGCATGTCACATAAAATGTATGGATCATTGCCTAATACAAGTTATCGATTTTGACTTACTTTTGTAGGAAATATTCATGATACAAATGTCTGACACTGGTTTTAAAGGCTGTCTAGACAAAGGATTACATACATAAAAATTACAGTAAGATTCAGATTTATAAAGTGGTTATGTGAATTATTCATGGACAAGTAAAACGTTTCAAGCAAAATAAGATGATCAGTAGTCCCATTATAATATTTGGCTGAAAGCAAACACTTTGGTTCCAATTCTAGTTATTTTAACTTCATATGAAATTAATATCTGAAACGAAGTCCAAGTGCTACAGCAAGCAAAAGACTAGACGCTGGTAGCTGGGACCTAACCATTAACGTTTATCAGTCCAATTTATAATTTTTGAGTATCGTGGCAAAAGAAGTAACATCTAAGTGCATGTCAAAAATAGTTGAATTTGAAAACATCTGTTAATTAAGGATTAAAATAGGATTTATTTGTGTCAGTTAGTTTATTAATAAATTTACCACCCACACCCAAAAATTATTAGTATTCCAAAACAAAGTCGTATGTTACACGAATTCCTCCAAGTAGTACGAACAACAACCTATCCTTTATTAACCTCGCGTTTGTTTTCCAAAAACGTCTTATTATTATATATACAACTGATAGAATTTTATAGTTCTAATCACGACCCAGTGTTTTTAGTGGGGAGATTGAGATATCAGTTATCAGTTCTAGAAAAAATACTCCCTGTAAATGAAATATTACTCTGAGGCTGTGGTTGATAAGATTTAACATACGTTTATTCATCCATCTATTTACTTCACACTAAAACACGTGACTCTCATTGAAACATCCAAGACAGTATACACAGGGATTGCTATATCATAGCATTCTCTAGTTCAGTACGAAAGGGACTACATTCAAAGAAACAAAAACAATATAGTACCACACTTTATGAGATAAGACTACGATTAGTTTAATCAACATAAGACATAACGTTTTACTTAATTAATCCGACGGTAAAACTCTAACCATAAGTCGAGACTGATAGTATTGAGTAATAAATACTTTTCGTTGAACTGTATGCCTTATAATGTTAACTCGAAGCTTTCTGACCTTGTAATTATAAAATCATTAGAATGATTAAATACATGCGTCTTCGTAAACGTTTTAGTCAACCTTCCACAATTTCGCTATTATCAATGTATTGAAACAATATAAATCACGTTTATGTAATTTACTGATCACATATGATTTAAAAAGATGAAATTGTTAGTCTCAAAACTAGGACCGTTATCTCACTTTTTAAAGCTAATATTCTAATAATTCAATGATTATTAGTACGCTAGCAATGTCTTTCAACAGATTATAAAAGCAAATCATTATTTATTAACCAATTCACCCAGATATACACGCAGACTAATGTCGCCACAAAGTACTAATAATACTAAAATTCGCTGAAATAAATTTGTCACAATTGAAAGGCAATTTCAACAAGCTATTGTAAGTTTATACAAACCTGCAATCAGATAAAACTTTTGAATAATCTTGCATTTGAATATAACACAACGCTCTGTTTGAATAATACGAAGAAATATTTGGTTGTTGGGTGATTGCATGTGTATAGCATTGAACTGCTTCGTTATATTGACATGAGTTGAACAGTTGATTGCCCATGTCTTTCAACGATTGATGGGTAAGTGTAGATATATCAAGACCTCTTAAAATATTTGACATGGTTGAAATAGTTCCCCTATAAGTAAAAAGTAAAGTAAGGTTTACAATTCCGCTTAATAAGTAATAAAGAAAAACGAAGATTCAAGTTATTCACGGATCGTTTTACCAGAATGACGAAATTTTCAGATATGTGTATGAAGTCATCACTCGTACTGAGATCCGAATTCTAGAATGACAAAAACGTCAAGAAACCACATCCAGTCATTGAAATACACGATATTACTCAGGCTACATAAAAATTGGACAACTGGATAGGCGCAATTACAAAAATTCAATACAGAGTTCCTATGAGATGAGTTCAACATAGATCACTGCATCAACTTCCAAGCCCTACAAGATCAATTAGAAGGGACGACTATAGAGAGCAACTGGAATGGGATTACAGAAATATGAACTTAAAAATGCCGGGTGTCATTACCTATAGAGCATCAATCAGTTAGCCAACACAAATAATGGGTCTCTGTAAACGTTCTAGGGACGATTGAAGAAAGGAAAAACAAGAAGATTGCAGTCAACACTATCCAAACAAGAGCAGAGAAAGACACAGGTCAAATACGCAAAAGCAAACAAACGAATGAAGAGCATCACAGCTGGAAAGTGGAAATATGCAGACCTGGCAAATACTGTAGAAAAGCTGCAAACAAAGGGATTTGGGAAGAAACATATAATATAATCAGGGGACTAGTAGTAAAATATGGTTCACAAGAACAACTAGTCAGCGATAAAAAAGGAGAACCAATCACTAAGGCTTGGATCATGAAGACGTCAACGTCTGAAGGAAAGCGCGGGATACAATGGACATCTAAGATGGAGTTGGATGATCTAGACTTCGCAGACGATCTGGCCCTTCTATCCCAAACGCAACAACAGATGCAGGAGAAGACAAACAGTGTGGCAGCAGCCTCAGCAGCAGTAGGTCTCAATATACACAAAGGGAAAAGCAGGATTCTCCGATACAACACAGAATGCACCAATCCAATCACAATTGACGGAGAAGATTTGGAAGATGTAAAAACCTTTACGTATTTGGGCAGCATCATTGATGAACAGGGTGGATCTGATGCAGATGTGAGGGCGCGGATCGGCAAAGCAAGAGCAGCATATTTACAACTGAAGAACATCTGGAACTCAAAGCAACTGTCAACCAACACCAAGGTCAGGATTTTCAATACAAATGTCAAGACAGTTCTACTGTATGGGGCAGAAACCTGGAGAACTACAAAAGCCATCATCCAGAAAATACAGGTGTTTATCAACAATTGTCTACGCAAAATACTTCGGATCCATTGGCCGGACACTATTAGCAACAACGTACTATGGGAGAGAACAAACCAGATCCCAGTGGAGGAAGAAATCAGGAAGAAGCGCTGGAAGTGGATAGGACACACATTGAGGAAAGCACCCAACTGCGTCACAAGACAAGCCCTCACATGGAATCCTGAAGGTCAAAGGAGAAGAGGAAGACCAAAGAACACATTACGCCGAGAAATGGAGATAGACATGAGAAAACTGAACAAGAATTGGATGGAACTAGAAAAGAAGGCCCAGGACAGAGTGGGTTGGAGAATGCTGGTCAGCGGCCTATGCTCCATTGGGAGTAACAGGCGTAAGTAAGTAAGTAAGTAATCACTAAGGCTCAAAAGGAGAAGAACAGGTGGGTAAAACACTTCGAAGAACTCTTGAATAGACTGACTAGGGTTACATTATTACAATTGGAGGGTATCTGGAACTCAAAACAACTATCAGTCAACATCAAAGTCGGAATTTTCAGCACAAACGTCAAAACATTTCCAGATATTGGAGCTGAAACTTGCAGGACTACTACAACTATTATTATCAAAGTAGTACAGTTATTTATAAACAGCTATCTACGTAAGATACTTTAAATCCATTGACCAGACGCCACCAGCTATAACCTACTGTGGCAGAAAACGGACCAGATGCCAGCTGGAGAGGAAATTAGGGAAAGACTTTGGATGTGGATAAGACAAATTTTACACAAACCATCAAGCTGTAACAAAAAGCAAATCTTAACCCGAAATACTGAAGGCTGAAAGGAAAGAGGGTGACAAAAGAACACATAGTCCCGGGGATCGGAAGCAGGCACTATGAATTTAAGTACCACTTGGTAACAACTAGAAAGGTGAGCCCAGGATAAAGTTGCTTGGAGATGACTGGCCGGTGTGTTGTGTACTATGAGATAGACGGCTTAGAAAATAGTGGAATTCTCTATTAAGTCAATAAGATAGATGGACTCAGTCTTTTGTTGATTATTTGCTTAGATAGATATAATGACTAACCATTTAATCGTCACCTCCCGTAACCGTTTGTCAAACTCAATACTAAACCTGAAGTAAGTGTCTGCACCACCATTGTAATCAATTTGAAGCCATGTCACTCGACACCTCCAACCATTGGTTACGGTGATTGTGCTAACCGCAAACTACCCACCTACCAACACGACTCAACCCAACAGTGAATGACTTCATAAACTTGTACCACATCTTGGATTGGTTACCCCTAGCTTTCTTTCAAATTACCCCTACACCAGGAAACAACGCGCGTCGAGGTAGAAGGTGGTTGGGCATACGTAATACATGCTGATCCTATACGGCTATTTTTCATACTACGTCCCCACGTCGTTAATTAACTTCCCTTTTTTGCATCTAGTCTGAGTGTCGGTAGATAAGACGAGGTGTGTAAGCTTCTAAAATGACATTAGGAAACCACATCCAATTAATCGAACTTGGTGTTTCAGGATGGTGATACGAAATAATAATAATAGTTTATTCTTAAATAACAGTTTGTTACATGAGGCATGCCAGTTTACAGGCAAGGCACGAAGTGAATCATCATCACTGATCTCGGATACATGATACCTCACCTTACTAATACTAATCTAATGCACCAGTTGCACTTCTTCGAAGCACTGATAACCGAACACCTTCAGTTCAGAGGGACCAAGTTTTACGAGCACAAAGCAAAACTTCTTACTGATGTTGTAAAGCCGATTTTCACAGACAGAATAACATAATGACGGCGCCAAAGATGTCCGGAATTGTGATAGAGAGCTCTGGCTTTTACTAAGTATAGACTGATCTCATCTGTCACGTCACCAACAGGATACACAAGGCCCAAACACACTGACATTTCAACTATTTCCATAGGCTCACTTCAAAAGGTAAGTCCATAACATGGTTCTGTGGCCTTTGGAGTACGTTGCATTTCAAAGTTAGAAAAGTACATGCCATACATACAAACTAACTGGAACTGATTAAAAGTAGTATGAGTGGGTTGTACATCATCACACAGTAAAACAATGTTGTGTGAGCACTTGAAGTTGAAAAGTCTTTTTCCAGGGATAAGATATCCATCAACACCAAGTATTTACTTCAGAGCTGTTTTGCAAAATGCTATCGGTGACAAAATGTTGTGACATACACTGCGGAAATCACCAAACTTCATCACGAGGCAAGCGATAACTTGAAATCCTGAAGGGAAACGGAAAAGAAGGCCGAAGAAGACACTGCGTCGGAATTGTAAGCAGACATGGAAAGGATGAATAGTAAGTGGAAACAACTGGAAAGTATTACCTAGGACGAAGTTGGATGGAGAATGCTGGTGAACTTTCTACGCTCCCCCATGAGGGTTAACGGGTGTATATAAGTGAGATAAGCCATATAAAGTTGCTCCAGAATGTTTTCGGCACTAGAAATTTAGCTATGTGGAGCAGAATCCCACTAAGCATCCGATAGAGTAGAACATTTAGGCTTATGTAGCGAACACTCTACATCCTGAGTCTTACTACACGATTTGCGGACCTTTGATGCAATCGAATATTTCTCTCACTAAATTATGTACTTGGTCTTGCTCAGACCACGAATCATTCATTCACATCAGGTACTTTCATCTTACCACAGTTGCCAGTTTCCGTTGTTTCTGAGAAAAAAATGGTGGTAGAATAAAGAAACTGAAGTCTATATGCAAAACCTAGCGGCTGTTGAAATGGAATACAATTCAATGATAGGAAACATGCTTTTTAAATACTGTTGGCATTATCTACATTACGAAAACGAATTATTTTAGGGGTTTGAAACAACCCCGTGCTTGACCAGATTACCAATAAGAGGCTTATTCAGTCTCCCTGTGAATAATTCCTAAAACCAGAAGATCTAAGAGCTATGAATCTATTGAGTTGAATTCATTATGAGACTTGCAAATGAAATCTATGCATGTCACATAAAATGTATGGATCATTGCCTAATACAAGTTATCGATTTTGACTTACTTTTGTAGGAAATATTCATGATACAAATGTCTGACACTGGTTTTAAAGGCTGTCTAGACAAAGGATTACATACATAAAAATTACAGTAAGATTCAGATTTATAAAGTGGTTATGTGAATTATTCATGGACAAGTAAAACGTTTCAAGCAAAATAAGATGATCAGTAGTCCCATTATAATATTTGGCTGAAAGCAAACACTTTGGTTCCAATTCTAGTTATTTTAACTTCATATGAAATTAATATCTGAAACGAAGTCCAAGTGCTACAGCAAGCAAAAGACTAGACGCTGGTAGCTGGGACCTAACCATTAACGTTTATCAGTCCAATTTATAATTTTTGAGTATCGTGGCAAAAGAAGTAACATCTAAGTGCATGTCAAAAATAGTTGAATTTGAAAACATCTGTTAATTAAGGATTAAAATAGGATTTATTTGTGTCAGTTAGTTTATTAATAAATTTACCACCCACACCCAAAAATTATTAGTATTCCAAAACAAAGTCGTATGTTACACGAATTCCTCCAAGTAGTACGAACAACAACCTATCCTTTATTAACCTCGCGTTTGTTTTCCAAAAACGTCTTATTATTATATATACAACTGATAGAATTTTATAGTTCTAATCACGACCCAGTGTTTTTAGTGGGGAGATTGAGATATCAGTTATCAGTTCTAGAAAAAATACTCCCTGTAAATGAAATATTACTCTGAGGCTGTGGTTGATAAGATTTAACATACGTTTATTCATCCATCTATTTACTTCACACTAAAACACGTGACTCTCATTGAAACATCCAAGACAGTATACACAGGGATTGCTATATCATAGCATTCTCTAGTTCAGTACGAAAGGGACTACATTCAAAGAAACAAAAACAATATAGTACCACACTTTATGAGATAAGACTACGATTAGTTTAATCAACATAAGACATAACGTTTTACTTAATTAATCCGACGGTAAAACTCTAACCATAAGTCGAGACTGATAGTATTGAGTAATAAATACTTTTCGTTGAACTGTATGCCTTATAATGTTAACTCGAAGCTTTCTGACCTTGTAATTATAAAATCATTAGAATGATTAAATACATGCGTCTTCGTAAACGTTTTAGTCAACCTTCCACAATTTCGCTATTATCAATGTATTGAAACAATATAAATCACGTTTATGTAATTTACTGATCACATATGATTTAAAAAGATGAAATTGTTAGTCTCAAAACTAGGACCGTTATCTCACTTTTTAAAGCTAATATTCTAATAATTCAATGATTATTAGTACGCTAGCAATGTCTTTCAACAGATTATAAAAGCAAATCATTATTTATTAACCAATTCACCCAGATATACACGCAGACTAATGTCGCCACAAAGTACTAATAATACTAAAATTCGCTGAAATAAATTTGTCACAATTGAAAGGCAATTTCAACAAGCTATTGTAAGTTTATACAAACCTGCAATCAGATAAAACTTTTGAATAATCTTGCATTTGAATATAACACAACGCTCTGTTTGAATAATACGAAGAAATATTTGGTTGTTGGGTGATTGCATGTGTATAGCATTGAACTGCTTCGTTATATTGACATGAGTTGAACAGTTGATTGCCCATGTCTTTCAACGATTGATGGGTAAGTGTAGATATATCAAGACCTCTTAAAATATTTGACATGGTTGAAATAGTTCCCCTATAAGTAAAAAGTAAAGTAAGGTTTACAATTCCGCTTAATAAGTAATAAAGAAAAACGAAGATTCAAGTTATTCACGGATCGTTTTACCAGAATGACGAAATTTTCAGATATGTGTATGAAGTCATCACTCGTACTGAGATCCGAATTCTAGAATGACAAAAACGTCAAGAAACCACATCCAGTCATTGAAATACACGATATTACTCAGGCTACATAAAAATTGGACAACTGGATAGGCGCAATTACAAAAATTCAATACAGAGTTCCTATGAGATGAGTTCAACATAGATCACTGCATCAACTTCCAAGCCCTACAAGATCAATTAGAAGGGACGACTATAGAGAGCAACTGGAATGGGATTACAGAAATATGAACTTAAAAATGCCGGGTGTCATTACCTATAGAGCATCAATCAGTTAGCCAACACAAATAATGGGTCTCTGTAAACGTTCTAGGGACGATTGAAGAAAGGAAAAACAAGAAGATTGCAGTCAACACTATCCAAACAAGAGCAGAGAAAGACACAGGTCAAATACGCAAAAGCAAACAAATGAATGAAGAGCATCACAGCTGGAAAGTGGAAATATGCAGACCTGGCAAATACTGTAGAAAAGCTGCAAACAAAGGGATTTGGGAAGAAACATATAATATAATCAGGGGACTAGTAGTAAAATATGGTTCACAAGAACAACTAGTCAGCGATAAAAAAGGAGAACCAATCACTAAGGCTTGGATCATGAAGACGTCAACGTCTGAAGGAAAGCGCGGGATACAATGGACATCTAAGATGGAGTTGGATGATCTAGACTTCGCAGACGATCTGGCCCTTCTATCCCAAACGCAACAACAGATGCAGGAGAAGACAAACAGTGTGGCAGCAGCCTCAGCAGCAGTAGGTCTCAATATACACAAAGGGAAAAGCAGGATTCTCCGATACAACACAGAATGCACCAATCCAATCACAATTGACGGAGAAGATTTGGAAGATGTAAAAACCTTTACGTATTTGGGCAGCATCATTGATGAACAGGGTGGATCTGATGCAGATGTGAGGGCGCGGATCGGCAAAGCAAGAGCAGCATATTTACAACTGAAGAACATCTGGAACTCAAAGCAACTGTCAACCAACACCAAGGTCAGGATTTTCAATACAAATGTCAAGACAGTTCTACTGTATGGGGCAGAAACCTGGAGAACTACAAAAGCCATCATCCAGAAAATACAGGTGTTTATCAACAATTGTCTACGCAAAATACTTCGGATCCATTGGCCGGACACTATTAGCAACAACGTACTATGGGAGAGAACAAACCAGATCCCAGTGGAGGAAGAAATCAGGAAGAAGCGCTGGAAGTGGATAGGACACACATTGAGGAAAGCACCCAACTGCGTCACAAGACAAGCCCTCACATGGAATCCTGAAGGTCAAAGGAGAAGAGGAAGACCAAAGAACACATTACGCCGAGAAATGGAGATAGACATGAGAAAACTGAACAAGAATTGGATGGAACTAGAAAAGAAGGCCCAGGACAGAGTGGGTTGGAGAATGCTGGTCAGCGGCCTATGCTCCATTGGGAGTAACAGGCGTAAGTAAGTAAGTAAGTAATCACTAAGGCTCAAAAGGAGAAGAACAGGTGGGTAAAACACTTCGAAGAACTCTTGAATAGACTGACTAGGGTTACATTATTACAATTGGAGGGTATCTGGAACTCAAAACAACTATCAGTCAACATCAAAGTCGGAATTTTCAGCACAAACGTCAAAACATTTCCAGATATTGGAGCTGAAACTTGCAGGACTACTACAACTATTATTATCAAAGTAGTACAGTTATTTATAAACAGCTATCTACGTAAGATACTTTAAATCCATTGACCAGACGCCACCAGCTATAACCTACTGTGGCAGAAAACGGACCAGATGCCAGCTGGAGAGGAAATTAGGGAAAGACTTTGGATGTGGATAAGACAAATTTTACACAAACCATCAAGCTATAACAAAAAGCAAATCTTAACCCGAAATACTGAAGGCTGAAAGGAAAGAGGGTGACAAAAGAACACATAGTCCCGGGGATCGGAAGCAGGCACTATGAATTTAAGTACCACTTGGTAACAACTAGAAAGGTGAGCCCAGGATAAAGTTGCTTGGAGATGACTGGCCGGTGTGTTGTGTACTATGAGATAGACGGCTTAGAAAATAGTGGAATTCTCTATTAAGTCAATAAGATAGATGGACTCAGTCTTTTGTTGATTATTTGCTTAGATAGATATAATGACTAACCATTTAATCGTCACCTCCCGTAACCGTTTGTCAAACTCAATACTAAACCTGAAGTAAGTGTCTGCACCACCATTGTAATCAATTTGAAGCCATGTCACTCGACACCTCCAACCATTGGTTACGGTGATTGTGCTAACCGCAAACTACCCACCTACCAACACGACTCAACCCAACAGTGAATGACTTCATAAACTTGTACCACATCTTGGATTGGTTACCCCTAGCTTTCTTTCAAATTACCCCTACACCAGGAAACAACGCGCGTCGAGGTAGAAGGTGGTTGGGCATACGTAATACATGTCCCAATCACATCGATTGGTGAAGATTCACTGCCTCATCAACCAGTTTGTCATTTCTATCTAGCACGCTACGTCTAACTCGAGTATTACTCGCTCTATTGTTCCAATATACGCGACCAATACTTCGAGGGCATCTATGATCAAATACTATTAGTAAGTTACATATAAGTATTAAAGCGCATAAATAATAAAGGATATGAGTAGTCTGCAATTATTCGGTCGCTCTCTGTAGGACCACCAGATTGCCAAGTAAATTTTTTAAGTTGGTTAATACTGTTGTGAAATCTTATCAACACATGTACGTAAGCTGCATCACATACTGATAGGTTATGTTGGTTAGATAGTCACCCCTGTCTTTTTATATTCTTGTAGATCAGCAGAAAATCGTCGGTCACTTCTAACCATTTTGGTTGATAATGCTCTTCGATCTAGCACTTCCTCGCTTTTGGATATTTTACTACTTCGACAGCTAGTATACATTTTCTGTCTTGATTCCATTCCTGTCCTACAAGAGTAAGTGCCTTCAAATATTCTTTTCTCGGAAGAATATATAACTTTTATTTATTTATTGCTGTCCATATATGTGGCGGTTGTATTTGATATCCTGGTTTTTTTATAATTACCTGCTACCTTGGTTTAGTGGCTCATGTTGTTGGCCTCACCTCGCCAAAACGGAGAGCTGACGACATACATCCTCCGTGTATCTGGCCACCTGGAGGTTAGTTTTCGTGGACCGGCAGATGTAGGTATAGCACTAAGTACGAGGGCAGAACAAGCACTATTAACTGAAATCTGGGAGTTGGACGTAATCACATCTGATTGGTCACAATCACTGATTGTCCCAATATATGAGAAGGGGTCAAAATCATCTTGTGGTAAACATAGAGGGATTAGTTTGGCTAATATAGCATCTAAAATGCTAGCTTCAATACTTATCGGGCGGTTAGCAAAGACTCGTGAACTGCAAACACGATAAAATCAGGCTGGCTTCAGAGTTGGTTGTGGCTGCATCGACCACATATTCACTATTTCTCAGGTTTTAGAACACAGACATGTTTATCGGCGTCCGATAACGATAGTTTTTCTTAACTTGAAAGCAGCATTTGACTCTGTTGACCAAGAGGTTCTGTGGCAGTGTCCGTCACTGAAAGATGTACCTCAGAAGTACATAAACCTTGTGAAGGCTCCTTACTCAAACACTACTAATCGAGTGAGAGCTTATAGCGAACTGTCATCTGATTTAGCAACCTCAAATGGTGTTCATCAAGGCTGTCCACTATTTCCATTTTTGTTCAATTTCATCATTGACCTACTGCTGGTAATAACGCTTTCGTCATTTGAATTTTTGGGAATCGATCTCCTTCCAGGAGGTCCACTTATTGACTTAGAATACGCAAATGACATAGTCCTGTTTGGTGAAGACGCTGATAAAATGCAGTCTTTTGGTAGTACAGAACAATACGAGTATGATTGGGGTGCGTTTCTACTCCTCTAAATGCAAGTTGTTGCTTCAGGACTGACCTGCGTCAACACCTGAACTAAGGATAGGGAGTGAAGTAGTCAAATACCTTGACAACTTCACTTATCTTGGGAGTCTGATCTTGATGTCTGATAACATCTCTGCACGGATTCAGAAAGCTCGTTTGGCTTTTGCCAACTTACGTCACCTATGGCGAAGGCGAGATTTTCGTCTATCAATTAAGAGACGAATATACTGCGCGGCAGTTCGTTCTGTCTTACTTTACGGCTGCGAAACATGGCCATTAAAAGTAGAAGATATTCGTAAGCTACTAGTATTTGACCACAGATATCTTAGAAATATTTTTCTCATCTGCTGGGATTACCGGGTAAGTAATAGTGAGGTTAGACATAGGGTATTAGGAAATGATGGTAAATTAGTTGATGAGGTTGTGAACCTTCATCGACCGAGGTAGTTGGGCCACGTGTTGCGTATGCCTGAACACCGATTACCACGATGCGCAATACTGACTAGTGTTAGGGATGGCTGGAAGAAAGTTAGGGGCAGCCAAACCAAAACGTGGCATCAGTGCTTGAAGTCATTAAATCCTGGTCTGAGCCATGTTGGTAAATGCAGACTACTTGGATGGGGTCTGCGTGACTATCGTGACCAATGCTTGGAGACTCTTGGTGACATGGCTCAGAATCAATCACAATGGCGTCGGTGTACACACTCTTTGTCTTCCCTTAAACTATGAGATTAAAATCGCTTCACATATTCCTTTCTACGAACTAATTCTTTCTTCCTGTACTATGTCCTTATATGCAATCTTTCTTTTATAAATTACCACCACTGAATTAACTACTTCTATAAAACCGGTGTTCATCTTGTTGTGCTAATGACCGATGCACATATGTGCCCGGTCTTACGCCGTAATTGACTGACTGAATGAGTCACTAGACAATGCGTTAAAATAGTGTTGATCCACTGGTAATTGTCAAAAATAATCATTGAATCAGCCAATGGCATACTGAAGGAAATAGTGATTCATTTAATTGTGATAAGTGGGAAGAACATATAAAGAGCAACAATGTCATTACGATTATACGACAGAAGAAACGAGTTTAAGTGGTGAGTGTGCTAACCACTGGTTGATGGCCACTCGATTTAAAGGGTTTTTGTACTGTAAGTTTGTCACTCATTTTATAGTAGGCTCCGCGATATTAAGCAACAGAAGTTAACTCTGAACCAGACTCAAAATTCGCGTCATTAGACTATATATTTGCATGAAGTAGGAACTATCGATTTGAAGGACCTTATACGCGATGGGCTTTTTACACGTAAAAGGGATCGCAACACGTTGATGTGACACACAAAACATTTAATCTATGATGAACCACGTTTCTTTTTATAACCAAACTCTCTGAATCTGGTGGTTTGTTAGAAATAACTGACTGACTGACTTTTTTTAACAAGTTTAAAGTATATCACGCATATTAGTTTAATGAACAACTGAGTGTGTCTTGTAGAGGTTAGTGTCCAGCCAGATAGTACTTTGTGTACTAGGGGAGGATGAATGAATTTTATCCTACTCACTCACACCACTCTGCATAATAGAGTAAGTAGGGCGAGTTGACAACCGAGCAATCGCACACAATGTACGTATATTTAATAGGGAGGCCGAGAGACAGTACCCACCAATAAAATAAGCCCCAACTCAAGGCAGTCTGGAGATTGAAACCAGTGTAGTGTATAACTCGATCGGTTGTTTGGAATCGCCGTTATAGTAAATCCTCCGATGAGATACGTAAGAATTTTCAGCTCAACCAACTTATAGCTAACTATTACTGCCTAAAATACGAGATATCGATCAAAACAATCAATCAATCAATAGTTTTTTACCAAAGGTCGTTTCTATTTACCGTATTGCTAATGTTACACTAGAAGTAGGTAGTCTGACAAGTTCTAACTTACTTATGTTGGCGGTTTCAATATTCAATACTATGTAGGTTCAATTTTTGTTATAATTTGTGTAGGTGTATAAAAGGGTTCTACTGCCACCCGCTGTCAGTAGAAGCAAAATACAGGAAATGCTATTCTGATCCGTGAATGATTATGTTTTGGTTTATCCAATGTCACTTTGAATATGTTTAAAAGAATGATTCGTCACAGTTGTGGGACAAAAATTTGCATTTCCTTGACACTTCCAATATCCACTTTCTTTGAACGAGCTAACACGACCCAGCTTAACTTCTTTCTGTCAGTATGTCAGTTTACGAGACGTTTTTACTTTCCATAAAGTTTTATTTAGTCAATCGACTATGACACACGTGGTGATTCAACGGGTGGTTGGGTGTCGACATTGAAGTGGTAAGTAAATCCATGAAGTAAAAAGCTTTGTAGGTCTTCGAAAATGATGCTGATCTTATTAGTTTTATCTGGTTCACCACTAGCTGAAACCCCTTGAGCAACCATCCTCTCTGGACCACATTTCGATGAGCTACGTAGCCCATAACCCATGATAAGTATGTAGCGGTAAATGAATCCCCAAAATTAGTATTTGTGCAAGTCTTCGATATTCCATGCCAACCTCATTAGTTTTGCTGGACACGTCTAGCTGAAGGCGTTTGATCATTCACTCGCACGTGATCACGAGTGGGTTCTTCGTACTGCGTATCTCTTACAACCGTTGGCCAGCTTAGATCAAACGTTTCTCGACACATCAATTGCCTTTAAAATATATCTTTGAGCCTGTTCATTTCCGACTTTTTGTTTGATCGGGTTGACATACTTTGATTATAAAGGTGTTACATTTAAAGACGTCGTCAAACTCCAAATACATGTGGCATTTCTGAACATTGAGCTCAGACATCATTCAGTTAGATACCTCAGCCCATAATGTTGATATATTATTATTGCATCACTCTTGACCTACAATTTTATTGGATTTAGGACGATTGCGTAACAAGAAACCTGAATTGCAGTAGATTCTAGTCGTGTTATCCTTCTACAAAGAAGTCAAGTTCGATCCAGGGTAATTAGAAAGACCTTCTTAGCCGTGGTTCTCCTTTATTTGACACTGTAATGTAAGCCTCCATTACATGGTGAGTTTCCCGCTTGTGAGTTTATCTGGTTTCAATGATTCCACGCTGTTGCGTGTGCACGTATCATCTTTAATTCGTACTTATTGTCCTGTTGCTTCGATATCACATCACTTTGGTGATAGACAGTCATCATTAAGATTATTTGGAAAAGTAGAACTTACATTTAGTAGCCTGCCCTGTAACGCACAAAGTGTTTAGCCTAGTGGCTGGTTCACCCAAAGCCGAGTGACATTTCATCGACCCTTTAGGTCACTGAGTGCGCTGTCTGGGGCATTACGAAATGAGCTTCACGCATTCAAATTACCATTTACCCTTATCTGAGTTATCCGAATGCGTTTCCGAAAAATAAACGTCTGGAGGTAGTGCTCTCTTTTGTAATTCAACAATCATGACCACATTGTGAGAGCCCCTCTAGTTTCCTGAAACTGATTTCTAGGGCAGTATTTTCCCGTGAATATAATCACGAAGTTCCGAATGCTTGAAAATATCAAGCTTCAGAAATAGTAACCCTCGATCTGAATGTCTATCTTAATGTTAACAATAACAAATGAATAGGTCTTCGGAGTTTTTGAACTACCATTAAAACAAACCCTGCATTATAAAGTAAATCTGAGTTCACTGAGCAAATTGACGATTGAATCTGTGACCGCAGAAGTTAACATGCCACTACCTAATGAAATGGATGTATTTTTCATCATAAATTCAGCAAGCGTTTTCTGCCATTTTCATATCACTGTGATATCGTCTATTGTAACATGCTAATGACTCCTCATTTTCATCATTATATACAATAAGTTTGTGATAGTCATTTATTTCTAGACGACTGAGGAACCAATAGCAATCTACGTGTAACATTATTTGTGGCTCGAGATCTGACTCCATTTGGATCGTATGACTGATTGTTATTAAAATACACATGTCGTCTATCCTCGTATATTATTATCGACTTAATCCGCGTTGGTGAATAACGGAATTTAACAACTCAAGTAGGATAACAGGTTTTGAAAAAATATATTTCATGCACTCACTGATTTTAACAGGCGATCAGGGCGACCAAACAAAAAGGGAGGATTGAAGCAGATTGATGAAGACAAATGGACCAACTTGATTTAATCAACAATTAATCAATATTTATAGCAAGATAAAAATAAGTTACAGACATGTAATGAGTTGAATAAGACGTGCACACACATACGCTCATCTGAAAACAGCCAGAATAAATAAGCCAATAAATGACAAGGTCAAAATCTGATTTAAGAAAAAAGGATACGCTGGCTTGTCCAGAAGCTAGGTTAATCTATATGGGTTCAACATAGCACCTGACGTTTCGCCATCTCCCACATATCTCTTCCAGATGTGCTTACGTGCATTCGTGTGAAAGTCACTTCATACATACATTCGAAGTGACAACAGCCTTTTTTGTGATAATCCTAGGGTTTTCTTCCTCAAAATATCCATTAATATGCACCATGTTTATTCCATCGACATAGAATAAGCTTATTACGCATATTTTCCTATTACACTGATTCTCGAATCCTGTCACTTCTATCTTATGGGATATTCCAGTGACTGTTAGTTTTGATTTGCCTAAACGTATATTCGGGCGTCTGCTATTTTAGTTTATCTTATTCTTATTTTTTATCCAAATTGGTTGAAATGACCAATTCCTCAGTAATGGAAATACCTTTCATGTTTGTAAGGGACGTCTGTCACCATTGAAAAGCGATGACTTTCTTGCTCGTGACTTCATTTCTTTGATATTTCGCACTTAAGATTACGCCTGCGTTTTTGAAGCACCAGTTGGGTTACGTAACCCGGATAAATAACATGAAGCGGTAAGTCCCTAAAATAAATGGTTCTGTAAATCTTCGATATTGGTGCTTGCTTCATCAGTAATGATTGACACACCCTAGCTGAAAGCGTTCGGCAACGCATTCCCACCAAATAACGAGCGGGTCCGCTGTTCTATACATCCTATGTGACGCTCATTTAGCATAAATCTCACACTTTCTGACACATCGACTATCTCACGAACTCCTTCGTTCGCGACTTCTCACTCAATTAGCTTCTGGATCTCGTTAAATTGTTATAAGCAACAATGTTGTCAAGCACTACGTATCCATAATATCTCTAGATTGTTCCGACTGCTTGCATATTTTGCCCAATTTATGCATTTCATGGTAAAACAGTGCCATTATCATTGCCGAATTACTGATAGATTACCCATTTTGTACGTTCTTGTATGTGAGAGACTTTCTGTGTGCATGTTTTATTCTACGACTATTCCCTTGACTTTTTTCAGTAATCCTTATTCTATTTTTGTCTACATATGCAAGGACATAGTTCCTCCATCGGTTTGTTCTCAGTTATTTTTGCAGATCTCCGGCGTAGATGATCTGGGTCGAATACATGATGGGTACTAAGGTTAAAAGGGAATGGTGTGACCGACCAGCTAACATCGAAGTCACACCTTACGGTTAGTACCAAACGTGAGTCGCACTTTTGTTGTATTCAAGTACTATGGCTATTTTGATGACTGTACAATACAAACAACGTTAATACAGAAATATATTAGCAAGAGTAGATACATGTAACGGAGTGTGATCACCAGCTCATCGGCCAGTCCATGGCGTGTAACTAACTGGTGCTCCTTGCCTGTCATTGACATTAAAGGGGACCGGTAAACTGTCTGATATTTAGTGACCCGGCTGCCGGGTAATTTAGACGGGACCTAATTTCATTTCACTGGTCCTACATTATAGTTTGCATATCATGAACCATGCAGAACCCTTTGATTTTGCCGAAGTTGCTGATTATAATTTTTCTTTGTCTTACTTAGCATCTTGAATTCAATAGCTAACATACCGAATGACCGTATTCTTGTTCTTAACCTCTCGGTTTACTTAAATGAGTGTCGCTAGGAGATTTGATTCATGTTCGTTGTTTGTCTTAAATGTCTATTATTGTTGAAAAAATCAATCAATTGTGTAGTCTAACGAGTACCTTTTCGTGAAAATCCTTTTGGTTGAGTGTTGAATTTAGGGTGAAATTGAACTGATTTACGTACTAAACGTACAAACCAGAGTGAAAAATTTTCGGATATTGGTATTCGTATTTCTGTGTGTATTTCTTCGTCTCCGTGAGCGCTACTTATTCACCGAGTTGTTGTGTCTTCAAACTTCTGTTTAAGTGGGCTTCAATGTCACACAAACATCTATACTGAATCTTAATAAGGAGAATGAGGATTTCTTAGTGTTACAACTGTATTTTGTAAACCTTTATTTGAAAGTATATAGATAAATACAGCATACTGGTATGAAACTCAAGGAATTCCTAATGTAATATTACGAGTGTATCAAAATTTACTGTTTTAATTATCGACTACACGTCAAAAGTACGGAAACAACAAACTAAACGATTTCATATTTTCAATTGTTCCGTTAGTCCGGTGGCTCATAATAATGTGAATGAGAACACAGGCGGGGATAACCAGTTGTATTTGAACACAGCATTACAAAATCTCCTAGTCAAATCTGAGAACCATACAGTACATACCTCATTAACAGAATGCCGATCAAGTAAAGTTTCTGTATCTTGACCTTATCTTTGAATGTGTCATGTTCCAAAACTTTCTAAATCTTAAGAACATGGATTTCGGATGTTTAAATGAATAAAAAGACTAATTACTTAACAACTAACAATGACAAAGTTGAAATAGTCAGACAACAACATATCAAATTACAATCGGTTTGTTTACCATAAAGTAGTAATCCGCCTCTAAAAATGTATATAGCATTTACAACAACGGTAACAACAGACATTTAATTCAATATCAATGCGGTGTCAAAACTGCCTCGTCCTACCACTGTATTATGCAAAATTGTCAGATGTATCAAGGATATTTCTTACAATAATAAGTCGAACTCAATAACGTGTGTTAGGTAACGAATCATAAATTTTATATAATCGATGGATAGATTTCATTTGTAAGTCTTATATAATGACATCAAATCAATAGATTCCTAGCTGTTAGATCTTCTGATATTAGGAATTATTTACATAGTGTTATATTTGAATAGATAACCAGACCAAATAAGTCGGCCAATAAAGTGAAGGATCAGTGCCACCAAAATATCGAAAGTTGACTGTTCCGAAGCGTCCCCTAGCCGTTAACTAGAGGTAGACGACCTTTTTTTAAATAAGTAGAAGGTATTAACGTAAGCGGTCAGAAGCACAAACAACAACAAACAAACGACGGAAGCATATATTTACAGCATAAAATTACATTAGGCAAAATATAACTGAAAGTTGGAATCGGCACATCTGGCACAAAAAAGAGATTAATAAATCAAAAATAGAACTGCAAAAACAGGACATTTCCTGAATGATTTCTGAGGAGGTAGCATCCTCAAACTAGGGAGACTAAATAAGTCTTTAAATGGTGATCTGATAGAACACGGAGTTATTTCAGTTTCCTGTAACACTTCGTCTACAAAGAGCAGCTAACAACAAAAGAATTTACTTCTCCAAATAACCTTAATGATGACTGTCTATCACCAAAGTGATGTGATATCGAAGCAACAGGACAATAAGTACGAATTAAAGATGATACGTGCACACGCAACAGCGTGGAATCATTGAAACCAGATAAACTCACAAGCGGGAAACTCACCATGTAATGGAGGCTTACATTACAGTGTCAAATAAAGGAGAACCACGGCTAAGAAGGTCTTTCTAATTACCCTGGATCGAACTTGACTTCTTTGTAGAAGGATAACACGACTAGAATCTACTGCAATTCAGGTTTCTTGTTACGCAATCGTCCTAAATCCAATAAAATTGTAGGTCAAGAGTGATGCAATAATAATATATCAACATTATGGGCTGAGGTATCTAACTGAATGATGTCTGAGCTCAATGTTCAGAAATGCCACATGTATTTGGAGTTTGACGACGTCTTTAAATGTAACACCTTTATAATCAAAGTATGTCAACCCGATCAAACAAAAAGTCGGAAATGAACAGGCTCAAAGATATATTTTAAAGGCAATTGATGTGTCGAGAAACGTTTGATCTAAGCTGGCCAACGGTTGTAAGAGATACGCAGTACGAAGAACCCACTCGTGATCACGTGCGAGTGAATGATCAAACGCCTTCAGCTAGACGTGTCCAGCAAAACTAATGAGGTTGGCATGGAATATCGAAGACTTGCACAAATACTAATTTTGGGGATTCATTTACCGCTACATACTTATCATGGGTTATGGGCTACGTAGCTCATCGAAATGTGGTCCAGAGAGGATGGTTGCTCAAGGGGTTTCAGCTAGTGGTGAACCAGATAAAACTAATAAGATCAGCATCATTTTCGAAGACCTACAAAGCTTTTTACT